CTAGACCCCAAACCCTAAACCCTAATTAAACCAAGAAATGTTGATCTTCAGTTGCAATCTTCCATGAACTGCGACTGGACCCCTAGCCCCTCGCAGAGGTGCATCTAACAACTTGTGTTCCCCGACCGTCCCCGCCTGCCCCGGCCAGGTCAGGATAAAAGTTTAGGGTTCATCACTATAAAGTCCAGGTAATGTAGGGGCCTTAATAGTTAGAATCGAATTTTGGGGTATACTATGCTAGAATTCTACAAAGGAACCCCAAAATAGTATAATAGGTAGTTATTAAGATTAAGGTCCCTACATTAATCATCACTATCGGCTGGTATGGCTTGGATGTTGGTGCTCTGCATCCCTATTTCCTGCACCCTAAATAACGGAAGCCCAAAACCCTGAACATACACGCTGAACAACTAAGCACCCTCGCACAAAAGCAGGGTTGGCGCCCCCAAGCAAACCAATAAACGTAGAGCCCTAAAAAAAACTGCTGACTACGGTTTGGGCTTGAGGGTACTGGGATAACTCTACACACCAAAAGCCTCCCTGCAGTGGCCGAGCCTGCGCCGAGATCCTGTGCGGCAACGAGGGCGCGGACAAGGAGGGCATCCTGACAGGAAGTTCAGCTTTGGGGTATAAGGTCATAGGGCCTATAGGATCCACCTGGGGATCCAAAAACCAACCGTTTTGAGGGTTCTACCCTCCAAATAAGGGGTCATAACCTACTATTTTGTAGGATTTGATGTCACAGGTACTGAAACCTTGTAAAATCTCCAAAACCCTACAGCCCTCAACCCCATTGTACAGATGGAAGCCCTCAAAGACCGCTAAAGCAGCAGCCCCCTGTTCAGGTTTAGGGTTTAGGGTTTAGGGTTCAGGCTGATCAGGAAAGTCCAGAATCAAAGCATGAGGTTACCAGGGCGTCAAGATAGAAGAGAAGACATGGGCAATTCTCTAAATTAGGGTCCCCTTTTAGGTCCCCAATATACTACGGCACCCCTATTTCTTGGGACCCTTAAAGGGACCCTAACTTAGAGAACGACCCACATATCCGAGAAGTACCGAGAGAGCCTCATTTCCTTTCGATCAAATTCCTTCTCAGCTGCCTAGAACCTACGGTTTAGGGTTTAGGGTTTAGGGTTTAGGGTTTGGGGCTTTAAGGCCTAAACCCTAGACCCTAGGGTTTAGACCCCATAGACTCTAGACCCTAAACCCTACACCCTAAGCCCGAAGCTCTAAACCCTAAACCCTAATCCCTAAACCCTAAAGCCCTACACCCTAAACCCTAAACCCCAAGCCCTAAACCCTAGACCCTCAACCCTAAGCCCTAATACCTAGACCTTCAACCCTAAACCCTAAAACCCTACACCCTAGACCCTCAACCCTACACCCGAAACCCTAATACTTAAACCCTATAGACCCTAAAGCCCTACACCCTAAACCCGGCGAGTAAATCACATAGGGCCCTGCACATCCCATGGGCGCCCGGCATTGAGGAACCAAAGCCGTGGCGCCTGGCGCCTCGAATCTTAGGGTTAGGGTTTAGGGTTTAGGGTTTAGGGCTTAGGGTTTAGGGCTTAGGGATTAGGGCTTAGGGTTTTTTTTAAAGTTGAACTGCGCCCTCCTTTGTCAAGCTGGCACTGGCCCTTTCGGCCTTCAACTGTGAAACAACCTGAAGATTCGTCCAGATGACTGTATACACCCCTGGGACTTCGAGACCTATCACGTGACGAAAGTGCATACTGTACAGGCAAACGACCCTGTCGCAGGAACTCAGGTTCACTAGCAGGCACAATCCAAGGCTCACTCATAGCTGCACTGCTCGTTCCTAACCCGTCAGTAGAGTTCACCATGTTGGTCTCATCCGACATCTCATCAATCACGGCAGCCACCCGTACCGAAGAGGAAACACCCATAACTGTGTCATCACCAACAGCAGTTGTCCAGTTCTCAGTCTGTCTACACCCATTCGCTTCCTGGCTACATCCATGACTCCCGTCACGAACAGGAGCATATTCATCATCTCCCCTTCCAGATCATCTCCCCTTCCGGATCCAAGAGGACGTGCAGAAGGATCACGTAGAGATTGTGCAGGAGGATCATGTAGAGGTCCAGAACCAGGAGGATGTGCAGGAGGAGCACGTAGAGGTAGTGTAGTAGAACCATGTGGACATCCAGCATCACGTTGAGGTACTTCACCCAGGGTCTCGGAAGCATCCAACACGATAGACTCCGATCCGCATCGACCAGCAGGATTTTCATCACCCTCTGCACAAGTGGAGGGAACAGATTCCTCCGCACTGTCTGAAGGCTGACCACCCACAGGTACATGTTGTAGCGGTTCCGGTAGAAGACCTGGTACCGGAAGAAGATCTGGTGTCAGCCATGCCTCCTCAACGACTGTATCTACCACAGTGTGGCAGTTTTCAGCCACCACACTCGTTTAGGGCTTCGGGCTTAGGGTTTAGGGTTAGAGGCTAGGAGCGGTTTGAGGCATCAGGGTGGTTCAGGGGTTTGGGGTCTGGGGTTTAAGGCTTAGTGGGTTCAGGGTTTAGGATTTGGGGTAGCGTTTAGAGTTTGTTTGGGGTTTAGGGTTTAGCGGGGTTAGCTTTGCTTTTCGTGGAGTTAAGGCTTAGGCTTAGGCTTTGTAGGCTGCTGGAGGATGTTTGTGAAGCGGGAGGGGGGAGGTAGGGTTGAGAGACTTTACAAACAGTCCAGCGATTCCCCATCATGGCACCTTGAATAGAGAGCTTCGATCCCGTGCAGAAGGGGCAGATGGGAGAGGGGGTGGAGTCCAAGGATGGGTCGTCCAGGTTTTGGTTCAGGACTTGGGGATGTTTAGGGTTTAATTGCGATCGGTTGCTGGTTGTGGGACAGGTAGCGGAACAGGTTGTAGGGTTTAGGAAGTTAGGATGGCTTCATATGCCCCCATATGCTTGGAACGCTTCGGGAATTTCCTTCTTACCGCAGACATCCTAAAACACCAAACCCAAACTCGATAGACCCTAAACCCTAAACCCTAAACCGGCTGGGGACATGGACTATGGAGAGCTGCGACGATGGACCTTGACTCTCCCCGCGTTAAAACTGTTCACGGGTTACCGGGGAGTCGACGATTCAAGGCTTAGGGGAAGAGTTAAGGTTCAAGAAATGTAGGGGCCTTAATGATTAGAATAGGTTTTTGGGGTATCTTATACTATAAGTATAGTTTATGAGCAGGTCTTTGGGGTATATTATACTATCATTATAGTTTCATAATTATTTGGGCTTCTGTATCCGGGCTTTGAGGAATTTCGTGGTTTAGTGGGGTTCGATTGCAGCCTGTCCAAAACACACAACCACGGGCATGGCCACGTAACCTTGCAGAAACCTCGAAAGAGAACCCAAAGCCACATCTTTTTTCCTTCAGCCCTAGACCCTAAACCCCCAAACCCCCCAAACCTCAAGCCCTAAAACCCCTAAACCCCTAAATCCCTAAACCCCAAAACAACCCCCAAAAACCCTAAACAGTAAACAAAGCAGTCAGAGAGCAAAAGAATCTGGCCCAAGGCCGGTAGGTGGGGGCAGACAATAAGCGTGATGTTTGGTGAACTCAAGGATATCAAGGTTACAAGTTTTTTTAGGTTTTTTTAGGGGTTTAGGGTTTAGGGTTTAGGGTTTAGGGTCTAGGGTTTAGGGGTTTAGGGCTTAGGGGTTATAGGTTGTAAGTTATTTATGCCGTATCATGATGAGTTATGATGATTGATGATGTTGCAAAGGAGCTACTCCAAAAGGACAACAGCCTGAAAGTAAGAAGTTGCTGAGGCTCCTCTAGGGAGCTTCTCAAAAAATCTTGCCCCCTGTCCCATAACAGTTCACTCTTTATCCATGGCAGGAACTTAAATCCCCAACCTGCAGACACAAGCCTTGCGGGGAACGCCTTGCATCAGAGGCTCCTGCAAACTTACCACGACAAGGTATCTCCCAAAAAGCGACTAGTCTGGAACACTGGGGCAGGCAGAACATGCCTCTGAGATTCCAGAAGCTTTGCCACGCCCCTCTCCGCCTGGCATCTCCAGGATTCAGGACCCTAAACCCTAAACCCTAAACCCTAAACCCTAAACCCTAAACCCTAAAACCCTAAACCCTAAAACCCTAAACCCTTAGCCCTAAACCCTGAACGATGTTTCGCAGTCAACCCTGCGCTCCGAAGCCCTCTCAGGCTTCGCCATAGTTCAACGCTGGACTCAAACCCAACAGCCCTACGAGCTCGAAGCTTGGAATGCCCTGAAGCCTAAACCATCCTAGCCCCTAAACCCGAAACCCAAAGCCCTATACACCCTAAACCCTAGCCCGGAAACCCTAAACCCTAAGCCCTAAACTAAACCCGAGCCCGACACCCTACACCCTAAGCCCTAAACCCTGGCCCCGAAACCCTCAACCCTCAGCCCTGAGCCCTAACCCTAAACCCTAAACCCTAAACCCTACTGCACGAGGACCCTAAACCCTAGCCCCGAAACCCCAAACCGAGCCCACCACCGCAACTGAAAGCCCGACGTCCCGAGACGGAAAAATCCCAGTGCTACTAGTGGCACTGTGGGAAGTTTGACCATCAGAAGCGATTTGCGGTGTAGAATTTAGGGTTTAGGGCTTTAGGGTTTAGGATTTTAGGCTTAGGGCTTTAGGGTTTAGGGTTTAGGGTTTTAGGGGTTTATAGGGCATAGTATTTGCAATTGCTCCGGCTTCTAGAATACACCTTGAGCTCAAGAGGCCCTCCTGTACCCTCTCCACACCAGAATCCTACTGGTAGCAACCCTGAACGCTCCCGGTGCTCCTGAACCCTAAGAACCACACCAAATAGAACCCCGACAACACCATAAAGAACCCCATCAAAAACACATGGCCACAGCTCGAAGTACCTATCTCATTCCGATGAAGGCACCATGCGAGATGAGGTGCATCATCAATCAACTTGCACGTCACCTGATGTAGCGGGCCCATCCCTCTTTGGGACTGCCTTCGCCGGTGAACCCTG